ACCACCACCCCGCCGGCGTGTCCAGCAGGAAGCTCGGCACGAAGACGGCTCGCCGCCGCAGCCGTGGTAGAGGGGTATGTCCCCTCAGGCCTTGGCCGGAGCACACCACGATATCTCCGGCCGCAACCTATTCGTCGTCTCCCCCAGGCTGTCCTGCGCGCATCTCGCCCAGATGCTTGTTGAGGATCGCCCGTCGCTTGAGCTTCTCCAGGACCTCGTCGTCGGCGCCCCTGCTCTCGCTGCTGGGGTCGCCGTCCACACGCAGGTACTCCTCCGCCAGGCTCCAGTCGACCTTCGACTTCAGCTTGCCCCCGTGCTGCGACTTCGGCCTCTGCCAGTCAGCCTTGCACTGGGCGCGCTCGTAGGCCTTCCAGATCGAGTAGAGCCGCAAGCACGTGAGCTCGGCGGCCTGGGAGTTGATCAGGTCGTCGCGCTGCCCCTGACTCATCATCCTGCCCAGGACCATCGCCAGCATGCTCACCTCCTGAGCGACCCCCGCGCCCTGCAGCTCCTTGGAGCGGAGCCACTCCTGCGTCTCGGCGCGGGCGCTGCGCCCGCCCTTGTACAACTTCGCCAGCGCCGTGGGCGCCGCGCGTGTCCTGACCCCGCCCACTGGACTGCCCTTCGCCTGGCGGTACCTCTCCAGCGTCGCCAGCAGCATGTCCTTCGGATTGCCGACCTCCTCCTTCAGCTGCACGATCTGGTCCTTCAGCGGGTCGCCCAGCTCGCTCAGGCCACCGACCTTCTCGCGCGAGGCTGCACTCGAACTGGGCGCGGGGGGGCCCGCCTGTGCCCGCGTGCTCGAAGCCGCGCCACCCCTGACCACCTCCTCGTGCTCCTCGAGCTTCTTGATGAACGAGTCGACCTCCGCCAATGTGGGCTCCATCGCCCTTGCAGGCGGCGGCTCGGCAGGGGGGGGCGGCGGCGGGCCCGCGCCGCCAGGCGCGGGGCCACTTCCCTCGGGCCCCCCCGCGGTGTCCGCCCCCCCCCTGCTCCAGCCTCGACTGCAGCATCCCCGCCGCGCTGGCAAGGTCCGACTGACCACGGGCCAGCTCGGCAAACAGCGTCTTGGCGTCCGTCTCCTCGTCGCTCGCCCCGCTCGCGTCGCCCCCCGCGCACGCGCTGCCCGCGCCCGAGTCCGACCCTGAGTCGCTCTCCGACGACGCCGTCGGAGGACGATGGGAACCAATAGCTCCACAAAGCATAGACACCTATCACCGCGCAGCCCGCATGCCCCGCGAAGATCTCCAGGCCCCCGCTCGCGCACAGCTCCCAGGCGAAGTCGCGGAAGTTCTCGGGGCCCCCCACCGCCTGGAGGGCGGCCGCCACGGCGCGGTAACAGGAGGCGAAGACCGAACCCAGCTTCAGCCAGCGCCAGACCCGCCACGACAGGAAGAGGATGGCAGCAGCCCCCCCCCACGTTCGATGGGCCCAGAAAGCGCAGGCCGCTGAGATGAGGCCCCTGCCGAACCATGCCGCCGTCTTCGTCCTGCGGCTCTCCTTCTTCGCCTTCTGCTTGGCGGTGTTCGCCTTCGCGCCCTCAGCACCCGCCTGTCCCAGCTCGTACCTCGCGATCAGCTTTTCCGCGGCGATGATCGCCTGCTCCGTCTGCTTCCCCGACAACCCCGGGTGCTCCGCCCGCGTCGCCCCCTTCTTCGGGCGCGCGTGCATGTGCGCCTTGCCCCGTAGATTGATGATCTGGGCCCGCTGCGCCGGGCCCACCGCCGTCCACACCAAGGAGTTGCTCGGGCCGATGCGCGAGACCAGGGGCACGACGACGCCCGTGGACCGCCGCTTGCCCTGCGCGTAAACGCGGTTCCACCGGCTCCACGGCGCCGCGAGAAACCTGCCGGGCCCCCGTGAGAGCGGGTCTCCTCGCCGCTGGCGCCCAGCAGCTCGATGAGGACCTCCTCCTCCTCGGCAGGGCTCACGCCTAGGAACTCCCCGAGCTCCCCGAGTTCGCCGAGGGCCAGCGCGCCTAGCAGCGCCCAGCCAAGGCGACCTATGGCAGGTGCCGCGATGCTGCCCCCCGAGCCCTGGGCTCGGGCGCGGGGCTGGAAGCTTGCCCAGGGCTCAAAGAATCCGAGCGCCTGGCCCGAGACTCCTCCTGAGCCGAAACTTCGCGCCAAGGGGGCAGAAGGCGAGCAGGAAAAGACGGGTGGCAAACGATTGTTTTGCTACCACGAAATTGTATTCACGCTGCAAGGGAGATTTGGGGATCCCCCCTCTGGCCTGAAATCAATGTTGGGCAGATTTCTGCACCGCGACATATAGCCTGCGACTGCAATATGCTCTCGAATTACAGTGCGAGGCGGCTTTATATACTCTGCAGGGGGCTGTGTAAAAGAGCGGTTGAAAACGCGCATCGCGGTGGCGCGGGTAGCGATCTCAATGCAGCGCGCGCAAATCTGCGTTGCGCTTGGCGGCGAACGTTCTTCCCGTCGGCGGTCGCTGCAGATGCGGGGGGGCGAACCGTGCCCGGGCCGCCGTAGGTCGCGGACCTTGTGGATTCGGAGGCACTGGAGGTCAATTGCGGGCAACTACACCGGTGGCATCTTGTCGCGAGCCGCGTGTCAGTAGTGCGCGCTGCTTGTAGCTCGCGGTCTGCCTGCTCTGGCGTTGATCCGTTGGGCTACGATCGCGGCCTCTCATCCTCGGTCTCGTCGACAGTCAGGGCTGGCACTGCTGTCAATCATGGCGCAACGAATCACGGAATCGCCTGGAGGTGCCGGGCCGCGATGGCGCACGCGTGGCACTGGCGGCTGCGCGCCGCACATGTTGCGACCCATGATCATTTCCCAAATCGCGCCCCGTTCTTGCGGCGTTTCCCGCGACGAAGGTCGCTCCGCGCTGGTGGCGCATCGGTCGGGCTTTGCCGGCGGCGGTGGCATGCCTGGGATTGGCGGCATTGCATCAGCGTTCTGCTACGGATCAATTTCTCGGCGAGGTCTTCCCTGGGGCGCCTTGTCTCTTCGTCGCCCCAGGCAGCGTGCCGCTATGGCTTTGACCCGAGATCTGAAATTGTCTGCTTCGTCACGCACAGCTCGCATCATCTCGAGGGTCAGCCGTCAAAGTTGGTCGCTCGCCCTGGTGGGGGTGCCCGCGCAGCCGTTCCATGTCTCGGGCGATCGCGCCCGCCCAGCAGGCGTCGCGGTCGCGGTCCTCGTCCAGGAGCCAAAGAATGACTGCGTGTTCGCGCAGAAGTAGGCGCGGTGGGTCCAGAAGCCCTCTCACACGCCCGGCCCCCATCGCGGGGTGGCCCGTTGGCCTCGCCCAGCACCGTCGCCCAAAGGTCTGCGAGGGCGTCTCTCAATCAGGCCACGAGGTGGCAGTCCTGTATGCTGTTGTCGACGTGAAATGCACCGTGCACGGCTCACTCTAGGAGGAGCTGTAACCTCCGGTAAATTCACGTCGTCGAAGAGGTCTTGAAGATCATCATCGTTGTTGGGGATTTGGGAAGAAATCCAAGTACCAAAGTCTATGAAAAATAGCGCGCCGTTGGTACCTCGATCCTCCCCGGTGTTGATGTAGGTCAGGGTTGCATGCGTCGCGAAGTCAGTGCACCTGTTGCGTCGTGGTCCACATTGAACATCACGCAGTAACATCGCGGTCATATGCATCGAAGATATATGCGAAGATGCTTGGCTACCACGTTTTTCAATACGATCACCCTTTCGTGGGCGAGCTGCAAACTGTTAGTCGCGTGCTTTGCGAATGATGCCCGCCATCCGCCCTTGTGATCCAAGGGCTCAGCAGTAGCCATCTGTGATTTGACATGCAGCGGGTTGGACTGTCGGGCCATTCGTTGTTTGGCCCCCCTTGCACGTTGGGTTTGGCGCCGTGGAATCTGGCAGCCAATTCGTACTTGGTGACAACCTTGGCGACGGGGACGTCCACGTTGACGTGGTGGTTGATGGCCTCCTCCGCGTGCTCGTTGTAGGTCTTAGCGATGTCGTCCAGGTTGCGAATGTGAGCGTGGTCGGCGATGGCAAAGTGTCAAACTCCGCATCTGTCTGAGCTTGCTCCCAGGTGATGGGCTCGCCGCCAGCGCCAACGGTGAAGCGGCGCTCCGTCATCATCCGAAGGTGTCGTCCACCACTTCGTGTCTTTGAATAAAATCGTAGAAGTCGTCGTTGTCGGCACGTATCCTCGAAACGAACTCCAAACTGCAGCTCGTCGTGCCCAGCCTGATGGCGTACCACGCGTGGTCCTGTGTAGACGAGGTTTGACAACGGTGTCGACTATTGCATGGCGCGTTTTGCAATGATGGTGGGAATCGTGGCTTCACTGAGCTGGTATGCGAGTTCGGCGGGCTGGATACAGGTAGGGATAGAATTGGGTGCGTCTTTCCACGCTCGCAATGCGAATGTGATGTCGGTATTATACGGTTTGCGTACCTGCACCACCTCTTGCTTGCGGCCTCCCTGACCTTCCTGTTGACGTGTAGGTCGTGGTCATTGACATCATTCTCCAAGAGTAGAGGCTGCTCTTGTTCAGGTCATCTTTGAGCGTCTTCTGGTGCGTCGGGTTGGCGATCAGCGTGGAGTCAACCCGTGTTCCTCCTCATCCTGCTTCTCCTCTTCTTCATCATCATCAAAATCACCATCACCATCACCATCATCATCATCATCCATCACCATCACGATCACCATCACCATCACCATCACCATCATCACCACCACCACCACCATCACCACCACCACCACCACCACCACCATCACCATCACCACCACCACCACCACCATCACCACCACCACCACCACCACCATCATCATCATCATCATCATCATCAGCATCAACATCATCATCATCATCATCATCATCATCATCATCATCATCATCATCATCATCATCATCATCAGCATCATCATCATCATCATCATCACCACCACCACCATCATCATCATCATCATCATCGTCATCGTCATCGTCCTCGTCCTCCTCCTCTTCGACGTCGTCTGCCATAACTCCTCCTCATCCTCCTCCTGAGGGTTCACGGCCTGAGGCGGGTGGCTCCAGGCTCGGCTTCCCGCCCGTGCTCGCGGGTTGCACCCCGGCAGCCCTCTCAAGCTCCTGCACGCGTTGGCGGACCGCCCTCAGCTGCTGGTCCTCCAAGCGGGGAAGGGTGAGGAAGAGGAGGAGGAGGAGGAGGAGGAAACAAAAAGGAAGAGGAACAAGATGGGGAGGAAAAAAAGGAGGACGAAAAGGAAAAGGAAGAGGAGGAGGAGGAAGAGCAGGAGCAGGAGAAGGAAGAGGAGGAGGAGAAGGTGGAAGAGGAAAAGGAAGAGGAGGAGGCGGAGGAGAAGGAGGAGGACGACGACGACGACGAGGACGAAGACGAGGAGGAGGAGAAGGAAGAGGAGGAGGAGGAGGAGGAGGAGGAGGAGGAGGAGGAGGAGGAGAAAGAGGAGAGGCAGGCACAACGCCCAAACAGCCCAGGGCTGCATCGTGCCTGGCACCCCCCCTCTTTCCCATCCTCTATTTCGCCTCTTCTCCTCCATTCGTTTTCCTTATAGCGAATTCCTCCCTATCGCACCCTGGTGCCCGTCGCAAGGACGGGCCGGGCGGGCTTTTCGCCTGAGATCTCATCCCTATCTATGATCCTGAAGTTTCAAAACCGCAGCAATTTGCATCACTTTCACGGATGGAATGCGGGCCTTTTTCAACATATTTATTTGTTGGTTATTGCCTTAGCGCCGCGCGCATTCGTTTTTAATTCTGAAAAAATTGAGCAGATGGACGGCAACTCTGTTTCAAAATGCGGTTCCCGCCATTCTTAGCGCCGCGCGCATTTGTTTTTAGGGCTTACAGCAGCTTCAAGGGTTTCATACTGAGCGTACCATGAATGGTGTTTTGGCACGGGCCCGCCTGCCACGGGATGCGCAACTGCGGCCGCAAACGCAAGGCCCCTTCGTGGGCCCGCCTACCCCTGGCCCACGCAGGCCGCAGGCCCCTGGGCCCCCGCAGGGACCCGGGCGGACTGTGGGCACAGGCCGGCGCCGAAAGGCGCGGCGGCCCACCCGAAACACGAAACCGAGGAAGAGGGGCAGCGCGACAGCCCCGACGAGCAGCGGCATGGCAAGCAAGGGCGCACAGCGCGGAGGAGCGAACGAGCGACTGGGGCGACACCAGGAATTTTTCCGCCTGCCGAACCTCTGGTTTACAGGGCATATAGATTCCCTCGGTGCAGCGCCGCGCCGGCAAAGGGCGCGGACGTCTTGGCGCGGCGGACAGGACGGTCGGGCTCGCGGCGCAGGGCGACCCCATAGCACACACACACACACACACACCGACCCAATGCACGCCCAGCCGCAAACCGTCGCGCCAACCAGCGCACCCCCCCCCGCGCAGCTCCGCCCCTCGCACCCCAACGCATGCGTCGTGCGCACGGCACCGCTAAGGCCCTTTCGCTCGAAGTCGGAGCTGTCCGGCACCCTTCATCCGGTTTCCCCCTCTTGGACTGTCCGAATGCCCGACGGCCTCCTCCGCCGCCGCAGTCTCGCTCGTGGCCCTGGCCGACGGGCGCGCCCGGGCTGCCGCGCTGCGCCGCCCGCCCCGCGCGAACATGGCCGCCGGGCCCTGCGACCTGAGCACCTGGTCGGCCCTGTCCCCGCGGAAAGCGTGGGCCGCCCACTCCGCGGCGCGCGGCATTGCCTGCGCCGTCGCAACTAGCTTCAACAGTGATAGCGAATCCACGCACGTCACGCCCGGGAAAACATGCGCCCCGGCGCGCGACGCCCTGCGGTGCGGCGCGCAGGCCCCACAGAGGCGCCGCCCCTGAAAATCGCGCGGGCACTTGCACCATCGCGTCTCTGGTTCCCCCCGGCATTTCCGCAAGGCCAGAATTATGCGTGCGCCCTTCTTGCCAGCCTGCGGCCCGCAGCAGAGCGGCGCGCCCGCGCCCCCCGCCCCCGGGCCCGCGGTCGTCGCGGATGCCTCCTCGAACGTCGACGCCGCCGAATGTCCGCTGCCATTCACGCCGAAGACCTCCGCCCCGAACTTCAAGCAGAATTGCCTATAGCACGAAGAGCCCTGCCGGGAACGCACTAGGCCCCCCCCGCTCGCTCGAGCTTGCCTGGCCACCAGGAAAGAATCAGCCACGACGTCGCGCCTGGTCTCACGCCGGATCCAAGCCGCCAGCTCGCGCGCCTGCTCCGCGCGTGCCCGGGCGCGACATCGCCGCCCCGCCCGGCCCTCGCACCTCTGCGCCCTCTTCGCGACGCCACTCGCGGCGCCCAGCGCCCCCGCGGGGGCGCGGAGGAGGCGCGGCACTGACCGGATCCCTGAAACATACCCAGACCTCCATCATCATCACCACCACCATCATCATCACTATCATCATCACCATCACCATCACCATCACCATGACCATCACCATTACCATTACCATCATCATCCTCATCCTCATCCTCATCCTCATCCTCATCCTCATCCTCATCCTCATCCTCATCCTCATCCTCATCCTCATCCTCATCCTCATCCTCATCCTCATCCTCATCCTCATCCTCATCCTCATCCTCATCCTCATCCTCATCCTCATCCTCATCCTCATCCTCATCCTCATCCTCATCCTCATCCTCATCCTCATCCTCATCCTCATCCTCATCCTCATCCTCATCCTCATCATCATCATCATCATCATCATCATCATCATCATCATCATCATCATCATCATCATCATCATCATCATCATCATCATCATCATCATCATCATCATCATCATCATCATCATCATCATCATCATCATCATCATCATCATCATCATCATCATTATCACCATCATCATCACCATCATAATAATCATCGTCATCATCATCCTCGTCGTCCTCATCATCAGCATCGCCGTCAAGCTCATCTTCATCATCACCATCGACACCATCATGTTCGTGCGCTGGCAGCACAAAATGCGCTGGAAGCGAGACGGCATGCTCCGGCACCTGCCCGGCCCCCCCAGGGGGTGCCTTACCGGGCCCCTCCCCCTCCCGCGATATCCCCAGGCAATTCCTCCCCCCCCCAGGGCCCCCCTCTGGCGCCTCCCCGCCCTCCCTGCCCTCGCCCCCGGGCCCCCTCTGCCCCCCCCTCGGGCTCCCCCCTGCCTCCCCGGCTCCCCTCTGCCCCCCCTGCCCCCCCCCCCGAGGGGGAAGGAAAAACAGTTTCGAGGGAAAAAAAAACAAGCCTCCGAGGGAAAAAATTAAAGCTTCGAGGCCCCCGGGCCCCCCCCCGCCCCCCCCGAGGGAAAAATTATCCCGGCAAAGCAACCTAACAGCGATGTGTAGGAGCATATCTGGAAGCCTTCCCCTTAAGATTCGGACGAGAATCCAGTTGTAGAATTCTGCTGTTCTCGCAGTCGTAGTCGCATTCGCGATGACAGTCGCAGTGGCCTGCATCAGCCTCAGCCTCAGCCTCAGCCTCAGCCTGCTTCAGCCTCAGCCTCAGTCTGCCTGCAGCCTCGGCCTCAGCCTCAGCCTGCCTCAGCCTGAGCCTGCCTCAGCCTCAGCCTCAGCCTCAGCCTCAGCCTCGGCCTCAGCCTCGGCCTCAGCCTCAGCCTCAGCCTCAGCCTGCCTCAGCATCAGCCTGCCTCAGCCTCAGCCTCAGCCTGCCTCAGCCTCAGCCTCAGCCTCAGCCTCAGCTGCTTCAGCCTCAGCCTCAGTCTGCCTTCAGCCTCGGCCTCAGCCTCAGCCTGCCTCAGCCTCAGCCTCAGCCTCAGCCTCAGCCTCAGCCTGCCTCTGCCTCAGCCTCAGCCTCAGCCTGCCTCAGCAGCTCAGCCTTCAGCCTCGGCCTTCAGCCTCAGGCTGCCTCAGCTCTGCCTTCAGCCTCGGCCTCAGCCTCAGCCTGCCTCAGCCTCAGCCTGCATCAGCCTCAGCCTCAGCCTCAGCCTGCCTCAGCATCAGCCTGCCTCAGCCTCAGCCTCAGCCTGCCTCAGCCTCAGCCTCAGCCTGCTTCAGCCTCAGCCTCAGTCTGCCTTCAGCCTCGGCCTCAGCCTCAGCCTGCCTCAGCCTCAGCCTGCTGCCTCAGCCTCAGCCTCAGCCTCAGTCTGCCTTCAGCCTCGGCTCAGCCTCAGCCCGCCTCAGCCTCAGCCTGCCTCAGCCTCAGCATCAGCTCCGGGCATCCAAAATGTGGCCCGGGAATGGAGTTCTGGGAAGTCGAAGAGCACGAAGTGGCCTACAGTTGGCTCCGGGCATCCAAAATGTGGCCCGGGAATGGAGTTCTGGGAAATCGAAGAGCACGAAGTGGCCTACAGTTGGCTCCGGGCATCCAAAATGTGGCCCGGGAATGGAGTTCTGGGAAGTCGAAGAGCACGAAGCCTACGAAGTGGCCTACAGCTGGCTCCGGGCATCCAAAATGTACGCCGGGAATGGAGTTCTAGCAGCGCCAAGAGCGATTTTGCGAGGATGTCCCAAGCGATTTGGGCTTCGGCGGCAGCCGCCCCGGGTCCCGCCCCGACCACCCTGTGGAGTCATGTTGTTCTTTTGACACCACTAGAAACCTATCAGTCTTCGCTGTTAGGTAAAAAGAAGCTGCGAGGGAAAAAAAACAAGCCTCGGAGGGAAAAAATAAAAGCTTCGAGGCCCCGGTCCCCCCCCCGCCCCCCCACCCCAGGAGGGATAAAAAAAACTCCCCAGACCCCCCCGAAGGCCCCCCGAGGGATTATCCCGGCAAAGCAACCTAACAGCGATATGTAGAAGCATATCTGAAAGCATTCCCCTTAAGATTCAGATGAAAATCCAGTTGTAGAATTCTGCTGTTCTCGCAGTCGTAGTCGCATTCGCGATGACAGTCGCAGCGGCAACGGCAGTCGCAGTCACAGCCTCAGCCTCAGCCTGCCTCAGCCTCAGCCTCAGCCTGCCTCAGCCTCAGCCTGCCTCAGCCTCAGCCTCAGCCTGCTTCAGCCTCAGCCTCAGTCTGCCTTCAGCCTCGGCGTCAGCCTCAGGCTGCCTCAGCCTCAGCCTGCATCAGCCTCAGCTTCAGCCTCAGCCTGCCTCAGCATCAACCTGCCTCAGCCTCAGCCTCAGTCTGCCTTCAGCCTCAGCCTCAGTCTGCTTTCGGCCTCGGCCTCAGCCACAGCCTGCCTCAGCCTCAGCCTGCCTCTGCCGCAGCATCAGCCTGCC